CTCCAATCCTCCATCTTCGAATGGCACTCTCCCCTTGTCTCTGTCTTCACACAGCCTTCTTCTTACAAGGGCACCAGTCATATGGGATCAGGGGCCCGCCTTACTCCAGTGTGACCCATCTACCCATCTTCAAAAGGAAAATGTGTGTGTGTGTGGGGGGGGGGGGGACTTGCAACCTAGTTCAGTATCTGGTTAAAACTGTAGTCTTACTTCCCCACTCTGACTCACTTGGGCGGAGCTGCGGGGACCCTCAGGGGCCGCCACAGGAGGAGATATATAGGTCAGAGCCTCCCCACAAGTTCAGTTGAGGCTTTGGATCGGAATTCCCCTGGACCGGCAGATCTGTGAAATAAAGGTTAAACTTTTCTCCCTCGGAGTGCTGGCTGATCGTTCTCCCGTGCATTCTGCCACAACATCTTAACAAATTACATATACAATGACCCTATTTCCAAATAAGGCCACATTTTGAGGTAAAGGGGATTAGAACTTCAGAACTTCAACGTAGGTGTGTGTGTGTGTGTGTGTGTGTGTGTGTGTGTGTGTGTAAGACGAACATCAGCTGGAAATTTGTTTAAAATGCAAATTCTTGGGCTCCACCCGAGACCCACTGAATCAGAAACTCTGGAAATGCGGGTGATCAATAGTATATATTTTAACAAGCCTTTCAAAGTGATTCTGATGCATGCTAAAGTTTGAGGACCATGATTTCACATTATGCTGTACATTTAAAAAATCATTCCGGCATGTTAAGTGCGTATCTTGCCCTTCCAACAGAATTGCTAGCCCTTTGGGGCTGTCTCTGACTGTATTTATCCCATCTTGCTTCTTCCACAGTTGTGAGCAACTAATACTTATCGCTCACATAAATAAATAAATAATGATTGCGTTGGCAGGCTAGAATCTGGACGTCTGTACAGGCCACATGTGGCCTATAGACGGGTTTTATTTTGTCTGCCCGGGAATACTATGAACTAATTGCCAACATAAAAAACTTAGACTGCAGAGTTGTTGTTTTTTGAACAACTGCAAGATTGCTGGCAATCACTGGATCTGAAATTCCACACAGCAACCATCAACTGATTGATGGCTGCCTCTTTGAGGTGGGGCATCAGGGTTCCAGTTAACCACAGTCCTCACCATTCCCTGATGCCTCCCCGACACTGGGGCCTTATGCAGAGCAACCTCGCTTATTTACATCGCCTATCTGGCCCCTAAAAACATTTAGATCTAAACCATGCTGGAGAGAAGGAAGGCAGATAGAAAAATGCATCCCTATCCACAGCCTGATATACTTAACTAAGGATACTTAACCAAGTTTCTGAGCAGCAACTTTAGAAATGGAATTTCAGAAGCCAGTGTCACTGATTAGCACTGACTTCGGTTCTGAGAGTTTAGCTTCATGTTTCACAGGTTGAGTTATGAAATCCTACAGCACGGAGGATCAAAGGTTTGTAGGGCCCTACCTGTGCGACCACGCGTGGGCGAGCGATAACACGGTAAAGAGATGTTACATCAGCATGATTTGGGGAACAATGGGTATGGAGGGCATGAGGTCGTGATTTTGAAGCACCACATAGGCCTCCTTTGTGTCTATGCTAGGCTGAGCTCCAATAGCAGGTAAGCTGTGAAAAGATTACTGCCCAGGGAAGCAAGTGGGGGAAAAGTCAGACTTTAAAACTGCTTTCAGGCTTACACATATTTTAAAGGGCAGATCCTGGACTAGATTTGACAACTGTGCCTGTAACCCAGACACCAAATAGTTGGAAAAAAGAGAAGATACCATCACTCAAGACACTGGGAGCAAGTTCATGAAAAGGTGAGCGGAACGGTGGTCTGGTGTCTCTTTACCTCAGAGGTGAGGATGGGCCTGGGGTTCAGAGGTGAGAACTCACACATCACAGTGGAGATGGGCCCAAGTTTTCAACGAGGCAACAAGCTTCATTAGTTAAGCCCCAGAAAGCTACACTTGCCATGGCGCCCATCCCAAAGCAATACATCAGAGAAATACAGCTACTCAGAGGTCACTGAGCCAGAAGGGAGAGATATGGCCACTCTAACATCACAGGGCTGTCTTCCGACAAATTCTTAAACTTTATTCTCTCCTTAACCACCACTGTACCTCAGCATTCTTTAGAAAGAAAAGAGATGGAATATGTCACCGATGACTAAATCTTCCTTTAAAGCTGTTAGAATTTAGAACTGTAGGCGGAAACGGGTTCTATGGAATGTAACATCACGGGTGATGTGATAATAAATTCCTAATTGGCCAGGTCCTGGTGGGTAGTCATGCCCCAGGCATATACTAGTAACTTCTAGTAAAAGGTTTATCTTTGCCTTAAGCAAGCCCTGTCCATTGTTTTTATGCACCTAGGTTAACACACCTTTGAAATAAGCATAACCACCCTGAAGAGAGCACAGAATCTTCCTGTGGGTTAGGGGCTGTCTCCTAAGGCCCCTCCAGCCCCTTCCCATAGTTGCTCTTGGTGAGTTGGCGCAACTTTTATTCAAGGTCACCACACAATGAACTATGCAATGTTGTGAGCCACTATGTACCCACTGGAACGGTTACAATGAAAAACAGATTCTGACCATACTGCGTGCTGGCGCAGCAACGGAAACTCTCATCCTTTGCTGGAGGGCCTGACAAATGGTGCAGCCACCTTAGAAAGCAGCTTGGCTGTGTCTTTTAAAGTTTTACCCACACTTGCCACGCGACCCAGCAATCCCACTCATAGGTGTTTACCCCCAGGCAATGAAAACTTAGGTTCACACACCCGTCTGTATGTGAATGTTGATGGCAGCTTTATTAATGATTGCCAAACACTAGAAACAACACAAACATCCTTCAGGGGGTGAGTGGATACACATCATGCAGTGGAATACTATTCAGCAAGGAACTCGTGCGCAAATCCAAAAGCATTATGCTGAGTGAAAGAGCCGGTCTCAAAAGACTATCTACTATATAAATAGACTTATTCCAAAAGACAAATGGATGGAGAAGAGCTCATTGGTTGCTTGGGGGTGGGGATGGAGGTGGAGGGTGGGTGTGACTACAAAGGGATTAGTAGAAGGGAGTTAGGGGGTGATGGGACTGTTCTGAATCCTGATTTGGGTGGTGGTTACAGGAATCCACATGTTAAGTTCCATGGATTTTTACCACCCTCCTCCAACATCAAGTTTACTGTATGATAATTTACAATGTCACCCAATTTACACTCAGGATAAATGTGCCCAATAAAAAATGTCTCTGAAATGGGGCCAGTCAACAGAGGCTGAATCCATACCGAACACCGCAGGTGGCATGAGGAGGGCAGTCACTCACAGGCCCCCTGGGTGCAGTTTGGTATGTGAAGAGGGTAAGTGACACTCAGCCACTGGGCACAACCTGGTAATTCTCTGAAAAGGCAAAAGAGCTGTGATCTGTAGCGTTTCCTTCCCGGGAACTTTGTACCCATGGTCTCTTCCAACCGCTGTAAGGGAGGAAAGTTAGGCTTAGCGATGGTAAAGGCTTTACCCCGATGTTGATCTCCGTTCTGTCTGGTTCCCCAGCGGCCACAGAAAGCCACAGCGTGGACTAAACTGTGATTCCTCCCTTTTCTATGCTGTACCTTGAGCAGGCCCCTTAATCCTCGTGCTCTTCAAGTCCTGCTCTGCCTTTAGAGCAGTGATTGGGGAAGGGGGACTATTTTGCTCTCAAGGGGCATAGGGCAATGTCTGCAGACATTTTGGCTGTCACAGCTGGAGGGGGCAATGCTACCAGCATCTGGTAGGTAGGAACCAGAGATGCTGCTAAGCATCCTACAGTGTACAGCATGGCCCCCTGAAAAAGTAATTACCCAGCCCCAAATGTCACCAGTGCAGAGGCTCAAACCTCTTGGTTTAAAGGAATGAAGAGAGGAACTATGTATGAGCCAGACAGTGTGCTGGGCATTTTTAAATGCGTATCTCAAGACCCTTTTGAGGTAAGTATTATTAACCCCAGTTTACAGTTCAGAAGGTGGTGGCTCAGACCCATAGAGCAATGTGGCCAAACCCCCGTGATGAGACAAGAAGCTGTGGCTGCCCCAGGCTGCTGTGATGACAAAGCCCAGCGTTCCCGCAGTGTGGTGCTCGGGGGTGGGCTGGACCCTCCGTTACCCTCCTCACTTCCATCTCCTCTGGTCTCTTCCTGGTAGCCCTAGGAGATCTGCAGACAAGGGGAGCTGCGGGCTGGCAGGAGGGAATGTGAACTCTAGAGGCTCCCAGGAAATGAGTGGGCCCGTCAGCACTCAGAACTCCAGGACTGGTTGTCACCAGTGTCCTTTTGCATCACCCATCCCTCCACCCTAAGCGCACTCAAGTCTCTCCTCTCTCCAAAGAGCCCAGAGACATTCCCAGCCAGCTGCGCCAGGACAGTGTCCTCTCCCCTCCCCCCGGCCTGAGTTTCAGGGACTGGGCACTCAGACAGCAGCCAGGGACGGGCGCCAGTCCCAGAGCAGCGCGCTAGGATCCACATCCCATGGGCAGGGTGGGCCTCAGACACCAAGCAAACTGCTTTAAAAACAAGTTTCGTAATCACCTCTGAGTGATTCTGGTTCCATTTTACCCTTTCATATAATGAGTGCTGACAGTTCCAGCAGCTGAAAATGGGTGTGTGTGTAAGATAGAGGGAGGAGGGAGAGGCAGAGTAGAAGAAAGGGGGAAAGAGAATGAAGAAAGAAGCAGAGAAGGACATAGTATACTTAACAGCTTAACATAAGACTCAGAAAACAGGTAACCTCATAATTAGCAAAGAACCCTAAGATTGGGGAACACTCGCATATCAGGCGGGAAAACGTGAATGGTCTTCAAAATGACCCCAGATAACTGCGGCTAGGCCTCGGGGCAGGCAACACACTCTAGTAACTTCTCCGACTTGGCAAAGCAGAGTCCATTCTTGACCAGGCTGGGCACGGCCCACCTTCATCCCTGCGCCCCCCTCCCCGCTCCCAGCCCGCCCCAGCCCCGCAGAGGGCACTCACAGCTCCAGAATCAGGATGACGTCCGTCTTGTTCTCGTACACCTCGTGCAGGGTGATGACGTTGGGGTGCTGGATCTCCTTCAGGATGCCGACCTCGCGCTCGATGTCCTCGCGGCTCACGCCCCGCCGGCTGGATTTCGTCCTCCTTTTCTTGATGAACTTGGCGGCATACTGCAGACCCGTGCTCTTCTCGCGGCATTTCTTCACCACTGCAAACTGCCCGCTGAAGAGAGGGGACGGAAGAAGGACACGGGTCATTTACACATTCTTTTTGTTCATTAAAATACAAGATTTGAGCAAGGGTGTGCCAAGGGTGTGTGTGGGGGGGTTGGGGGGAGCGATGGAGTTGTGAGTAGAAAAGTCCAAATTGTGAGCAATTAACACAGTAAGTAGGGCTAGTTCTTACTCTAGTTCAGTTTTATTAAGCCAGTTTCTTTGTGAACGAGGGATAAAAATTATGTTCCTGAATTATGCTTTGTTGAATCGGTAATGATGCCTCCGCTTCTGTGCTGGCCTCCTTCCCTCCCATTTCTGATTCAGGGACCGCAGGAAGGAGCTCCTGGATCAGACCTCACTCCCAACAAGCTCTTTTCCTTGTGTGTGTAGGAAAACAAGAGATGGAGACCAGGGAATTGGTAGGAAAATATATAGAGCTCTGACTCTGATGACATATTTCTAGCACCAACAGTTATCAACTGAAACACCCAGAACAAAAATAAGCTCTATGTGTTTTTCACACTTTGGGAATTGATGAGCCCTATGGACTAGACATCTGCTGGCTGCTTCTCCAGCATCACCACCCTCCTCTTCCTTTTCCAATACCTTTATCTAGGGATTGTTGTGGTTCTGGGAAGCTGCCTCCATCCACAACTATAGATACAGATCATGTGACCTGGGCTAGGCCAATCAGTGCACAATGTTCTCCTGGCTCCAGTGATAGGCCCAGGACCTAAGTAAAGACCTTCCAGAGAATGTTTAGACAGAGACTTTTTCTGAGACTTTCTGATCCCTCAAAGCTGCTGGCAGACACCTCAGAACCATTTGAGGAGTCACTCTTGGTTTAAAGCTAATCACATTGCAGAGCTAGAGACAGTAGAAGCAACAAGACTAGGTCTGTGGTAACACTGGGAGTGGCTAGATCAACCCTAGCCTGAAACCATCTGCCTTTGGAAATTTCAGCAACATAGGCCAATAAATTCTCTTTACTGCTAAAGCCAGTTTGATTTGTGTTTTCTATTTCTTACAGAGGAAAGCATCCTATCCATCCAGTGCCACAGCAAATAACCAGAGCCTCCTATGCATATATAAAAGAATATCTATATATATAAAAGCCTAAGCGACCGTTACGACCAGTCGCTATGACGCACACTGACCATTAGGGGGCAGATGCTCAATGCAGGAGCTGCCCCCTGGTGGTCAGTGAGCTCCCATAGCCAACCTCCTGCGGCCAGCCAACCTCCTGCGGTCTCTCCCCCCTGCCGGCCGGCCCCTGTGCACGAATTCGTGCACTGGGCCTCTAGTTATAAAATAACTTGACACACAATAAAAGGTGAAGACATAAGTGGTTGAGATCTTGAGAGGTAAGTAGGCTACCCTGAATGTAGGTGAAACAACAGAAAGATGCTTCCTGTAACGACCCTCACTTCTTCCCCCTGTAACGACCCTCACTTCTTCCCCCTGTAACGACCCTCACTTCTTCCCCCTGTAACGACCCTCACTTCTTCCCTAGCGCCCAAGGCAGGGTTGGTCCCCCATCACAGGACCTGTATATTTCTTGGCACCAGCTGGAGAACTGCTATGCAGAGCATGATCAGTTATTTTCAGCTAGTTTCCTTCCCCTCACATGAAGACAAAAAGGGGAGAGAAAATCAAATAACTGGTAATATTTTGATGCTAAAGAATGGATACTTAAAAATGTTACTCATTTCCTTGAGCAGCAGGAGGCCAGAGAAGAAAAAACACATAGTGAAGGATTATTTTTATGGCAGTATCAAATTTTTTTGCATGACAGGTTATTAATGCCCTCTTTCCCCCTGCAGCAGGAGAGCAGAGAAGTTGAAGAATAAATCGCACCGGAATGCTAGCACCGATTGTCTGTAAACTCCCGACCTTAAAGAGCCAGGGGATCTGTTACGACTTTATTACAACCATTTTCTAATTTCTCTGGGGAGTGAAGGACTGGGCTTTCTGTCTATTGAGGGAAAAGGGGTGGGCTGCAGAGATGGGGTTTATGGAGAAAAGCAGGAACTCAGCCCCACTCCTCACAGAGACGGTATCATGTCCCCACAGAGGGCTCTCAAGGGACCCCAGGGCAGAGAGAAGGCAGAGTGCACTTCGCAGGGCAGCACCTCCAAACCACAAACATCTGTGCTTGGGGCGGGGTGGTGGTGGTGATGGTGGGGGTGGTGGTGGTGGGGGCGGGATGGTGGTGGTGGTGGTGGGGGTTGGTGGTGGTGGGGGCGGCGTGGTTGGTGGTGGTGTGGTGGTGGGGTGGTGGTGGTGGATGTGATGCCTTCCACAGGCTACAGGCACCTACAGGCACCGAGACTTGTCTCAGGGGCTGTAATGACTTGAGGCAGTCTGTGGTTTGAATCACCTTGCTTTAAAAAAACAAAACAACGTGCCAAACAAAATAAAATCTGGAGGCAAACCACAAAGAATTTAAATACAAGCCTAAATTTAAAGACTATCTGAGTGTGTTTTCACCGCCAAATGATCCATTGTTGACTGTTTCCCCCTTTTAACTCTTTGAGATTCACACCATCCTCATTTCTTCGGTCAATGAGAAAGCCAGGCTTCAGAGGGATGCTTTAAAAACTGCTCTAAATCATTCAGCAAGTAAGTTTGCATAATGCAGACATGACTCCAAACCCAAGTGTATTTGCTCCAAAGCTCTATTCCTTGAGCCAGGCTGCTTTGCTGGGCTTGTGTCCATTTTGTTTGAGATATAAGCCACCCCCCTCTAAGTTGCAGGACCTCATTCTAGGAAAGAGCTTTCTGGGGGGAAGGCAAAGAGAAGAGGCTTGTGGTTAAAACGCTTGGGCAATGTAGCTTTCTCCTCGCCACCGGAAATTCATCAAGTGCTTGAATGAACGAAGCCATGGCTTGAATATCCTTGTTGGTGCTCTGCAAGGAAAGGTAAAGCACATTTGTGTGTGTGCTTAGGAAGCACGACATTAACAATTAGAAAGAATCTCAAGGTCAGATGGCAAGCAATTGGTGAAGCATCTGTGTTTTTGGAGGTCTTATGTATTTCATAGTGCATTAAAAATGAACCTGTCGGCCCTAGCTGATTTGGCTCAGTGGACAGAGCATCAGTCTGTGGATTGAAGGGTCCCAGGTTTGATTCCAGTCAAGGGCACATGCCCAGGTTGCAGGCTTGATCCCTGGTGGGGGGTGTGAAGGAGGCAGCCGATCAATGATTCTCTCTCATCATTGATGTTTCTCTCTCTCTCTCCCTCTCCCTTCCTCTCTGAAATCAATAAAATATATTTTTAAAACAACAACAACAAACACCAGTCGAACTCTGTTTTATCCCTTCAGGTTTTATTTTCCAATTCATTTCTTTGTGGGAGTTTTGCTCTCACTTTGGGAAAGATGGGGTGGACAAGAGAAGTCAAAGATGTTGCTTTCAGAATGCAGGAAGAGCAAGTTGTCTGGGAGCAACTATTTTTTCTGCCCGTGGGCTGGTGCCTAACCTGGACTCTCACATTTTCACTGCGGACTTTGATCCAGACACCACATTAGAACAAGCTCCCACCCAGTAAGTGCAGATTGAAAAAAAACATACTAAAACAGCTTATAATTTTTGGGAGAATTTAAAGCATGCATCTACCCAGTACATACGACAGTTAAAAATTATTTATGGGAACTATGTGTTATTGCGAATTCCCTACATTAATGCTAGAAACAGATCTGGCTTAAATCAAAACAGCCAATAAGTTTCAACTCTACCCTCCTTCCAAGACTTTGCAATAAGGCTTCTAATTAACACAAAATAACTTTTACTTTTGAATTCACATATCAACCCCCTGGCACAATTATAGTGCTGGCTTATGAGCCAACTATTTTTCCTGAAGAGCTGTGTTGACAGAGTGGCAGCAGCTTGGATCCCGGTAGAAAACTGGACTTACAGGTCTTAAATAAGAGGCGAGGCGACAGAAATGATTTTTCAAGGATGAGTTAATATTGGGTAATAATTCACATTTATGGCAGAGGAAAGACCCTCAAGTTTATAGACTAATGGGAGAGACAAGCATGTAACGGCAGAATGTGGGACGGGCTATAAAAAAGACGTTGGGAGGTCAGGAGACCCAGGCTGTGTCTTGAAGGTGGGATGTGACCTGGAAGATGAAGGTGTGTGTGGAGGGATGAGTTCTGAGAGGAGGCACGGGTGAGCCAGGGCAGGGAGCACAAAAGAGCCTGCCTAGCATTTCTGAGAGAAGAGGGAGTGGTGGGGGAAGATGAAGAGCAGCTCCACAAACAGGGTCCCGCCCAGAACGAAGCAAGGCCAACCCCAACTCTGTCAGTAACGTGGGAAAGCAGGGACTTCTGGGCCTCAGTTTCCCCATTCATGCAAGGGTGATGACAACATAGAGTGAGACCCTGCATGTGAGTGTAAACTGGGTTCTCTAAGCACTTCAGGTCCATAAAAAGGATGAAAATTAGCAAGCGTAGCAAGCTGTCTCAGCTTCCTGCTTCTCAAAGAAGCACAAAGGGTCATATTTCAGCGGCTGAAAAGCAGCACCAATTTCTTCTTGGCCTTTCTACCCAACAACTTGGAAATCTATGTGTTAAGTCTCTAGCTCCACCTCCTCCCCCCGCCCCACCCCCCAATCAGGAATAACAAAGCTATTTCATTTTAGATGGAGGCCTATTCGATTTCTCCCCTTGGGTCCCCAAAGGACCTTGTGACTTTGGCTGCTGAAGTGTTCGCCTGTGGGGAGGTGAGTCTGACAGCAGTTTGCAAAGATGGCCTTGGCCGTATCTTCCATCTCCCATGCTCCTCTGCAGGGTGACCTCAGCCTGCTCCGCTGGAACCTGAGCCTTGCTTGACCAATAGAATGTGGCAGAAGCGCTTCTGGGGGTTCTGTCTGGAGTTCTCAGAACACGCATTCTTGGGAGCTCCCTCTTGGAGCCCCGCCACCGTGCTGGGAGAAGTCTAAGCTATTTGGAAAGGCCGCATGGACGTGCTTCCGTCAACAGCTCCTGCTGAGCTGCAAGCAGTTTTAGAAGGCCCGCCAGGCGACTGACCATCACGGATGTCTGGCCTAGCAAGTCTTCAGATGGCCCCTGTCCCAGCCAGCATCTTCGTGCAACCACACGGGACACCCTAGGTGAGAACACCCAGGCAGCCACAGAGCATGAGAGATGTTTGAAGCTACCAGGTTTGGGGGTGGTTTGTTATACAGCAATGGACGGGGGAACAGCCACGGAAATATCTGGGGTTTAACGGAGGACCCAGGAAGCTGTGTGGAGGAAGGCTTCCATACAGAGGGTGGGGGGCCAGTAGCTGACCAACGCCACAGACCGACCTAAGGGAAGAGCGTGGAAAGGGGTGGGAGCGCCCTGACCATCCTGAACACAGGTTCCCCCCAGGCTCACAAGCGAGCCCTCTCGTTACATCAGCGTGTGAGGGCTCACCTTTCAGGTTCTTCACTTCTCATCTTGGCAGCAGTCCCCCATCTTTCAAGGAAAGTGCTGCATCCGCTGGGAGGGACCTCTGTGCCAAGACCAAAACCACCACCACCAAACCCCAAAGACTCACTGAAATGTCTTAACAGGATTCTGGCTGAGCTGTGCTCATCTCCAGTTTACCTTTCACCTCCCCCTGCCTCCCCTCCCCCACCAGGGAAACACACATAAACCCACCAGTCCGACAGGACCCAGCACACGTACCGCTACCGAATCTGTATTCTGACTGCTCCGAACTCCAGTCACATTCCCAGTGACACCACCTTAGGGGACCCAGGTGAAGACCAAGTGCTTCGTCCTGGTTCATGGAAACCTCCCCTTCCATCCTAACCCACCGATGAAGAAGGCTGACCCCCTCCGGGAACTGGGTCCTCAGCACCGAGCTCAGTTCCCTCGGAGTGTCCCCCAGTGCAGCCCACATTAGGAACTGCTCTCTTCCTGGCCTCTGAGAAGCTATGCCTGACAGGAAGGCAAACCGCTTTTGACAAAAATGCCAAACTTGTGATTTATTATTATTATTATTATATTTTTAAACACTCCAATAATTATTTGAACGGCTACCAGGGCTCAGTCAAGGTGGCAAGGTCTAGAGAACCCAATGAGGAAAGCAGCAGGTTGCCAGGGCGCCGACAGGGAGAGGCAGAGTTTGCGGAGGGATAAACAGCAGCAGGTCACCCTGGGAACCGAGCAACACATGCGACTCAGGAGTGAGATGCTGGATGAGAAGTGCTGCCTAAGGGCGGGCAGGGAGGCTTGAGTAACACACCTGGTGGAGGAGGGCCAGCCCCAGAGGCGCACGCCTTGGGGACAGCACCCTCCCCGGAGGTCAGGACCACACACAGAAGGCTGCCAAGCCGAGCAGGGCAAAACCCGGGGCCCAAGGCAAGAGCGTACGAGGGTCTGAATTTCTGCACAAGTGCTGCTGCCAGGGGGTCAAAGAACCAAATACACAGAGTATTGGGTGGCTGGAGCAACCTCATTATAATGAAGGGCTTAGCAAAGCAGAGCCGGTGAGGACGCAGAAATAAGAAATTAGGACAGCAGTGAGCATCTTTGTTCAGTCCACCTGTCTCGATGAGACCGTAGCAGGGGCCGTCTGAGACCCATCTGGAGGGGCACGTCCGTTAAAGACATGCTACTGAGAGAAAGGGGTTTCATGGCCAAGAAGTTTGGGGGACACAACAGGCCTCTGTATGCAGGACTCGGCAGACCCTGCTCTCTGCAAGAGCGGGTATAGCATTCAGTGTTTCAAGGGGTTTGGGTTTCAAGGGGTTTGGGACTATTCCCCACATTTTTTTTTTTTTTGGCACGGGGCATAGGAAAGTTCGCTTTGGTCCTCTCTCCCATTAAATGGCTGGCCTTTGAGAGCTGGGACTCTCGACGCACTGATTCCTTTCCAATCTCAGCACAGAGCTGTGTTTGGAGGTTATTTCCTAACGCAAGACACCAGTCATAGTATTCTCCCTCAGGCCTGGTGGGGCTGAGCGCAGAGCTGGGGGTGCAGGTGCCCACGGGGTGCAGACCCTCTTGGGATGGTGGCCCATTAGAAGGGTGGGGACAACTAAGTCAGGCCACTCCTGGCCTCTGCCTTCTGCCTCCTGGTCGAGGGCTGAGTAGAGGAGTCAGGAAAATGCACGATGGTCCCAGTCCTGCCAGAAGCCTGGTACCATTTGAGCCCAGCAGGGGATTCTGATGTTTTTTCTTTCAGAGTCAATTGTATTTGGTTATTTAAAGAGGCAGTGAGAGCAGGCAGAGCAGGTGTGGAGAGCGGGAGCTCTGAGGCAGAGCAGTGGCACTTGCTGGTGGATCTACAGGTGTTGCTGAGCCCTCGCTGCCACCTTGGACCATGCGACCCGCCCGGGAGAAGAGTGAGGAGGTGACGGGCAGGGGCCCGACCCTGTGAACCCTGAGCAAGGCCCGACTGGCCTCCCAGGCCCCTGACTGACACAAGCCCAGTGATAACGCTGCCAGCGTGTTCTGGGTGCAGCTCCTTTGGGTTCTGTCACTCGCTGCCATGCCTAATCCTGCCCGATTCAGATCTGGTCTGTGACTTCGGGATTTTACAACTGGCAGGAATTCACAAGACCCTGCCTTATCACAGAGCAGCGAGTGCTACATGAAGGGGGTGTGCACAGCGAGGGGGGGTCCCGCTCTAGAAGAGGCCTGAGATCACCTAACTCGGGGCCCGGGCCAGAACACAGGCTTGGTTTGGTGCTTGATAGCTATTTGCTTAAAAATATATATATATTTTACTGATTTTTTTTTTTTTACAGAGAGGAAGGGAGAGGGATAGAGAGTTAGAAACATTGATGAGAGAGAAACATCGATCAGCTGCCTCCTGCACACCTTCTACTGGGGATGTGCCCACAACCAAGGTACATGCCCTTGACCGGAATCGAACCTGGGACCCTTCAGTCCGCAGGCCGACGCTCTATCCACTGAGCCAAACCAGTCAGGGTTGTTTGCTTTTTTTTTTAAAGCCGAAGAGAAAGGAAAGATGAAAACAAGCCTTAGAAAAGTGTCATCCGATACTGTCTACATGGGACCTCCACTGGACCAGACTATAAAACAAACAACAATACTCCAAATATTTTCTCCAAAATATACAAGCGCCCGTCGGAATCAGGATGACCCCGGGGAGAATAAAATGACCTAATAGAGAAAGGGTGTCACACAGGGCTCAGCCCTCCCATTTAATCAGTGGTAACAACATCAGGTGACTGGAGATCGAGGCTTCCTTCCCCAAGTCCATGTTTGAGCTGCAGGGGGGCCCTCCGGCTGCCCAGCTGAGTCTCAGGGGGCTCAGTCCAGTGCTTGATCATTCCGACTTCAGCGTGCTGTCCCTTGGGCCACTCCCATTATTTGATCATCCTGACTTTGTCATGTAATCCCCTTTCAGCTACTGGCTAAAGTTAACTGGGCCATAAGGCACGATCTGTATTCAACTCAGCAAGCTGCTCTCAGGGGAAAAAAGTTGAAAAAGGGAGCAGGAGGTTCATGTAACTTCATGGCGAAAGAGAAGACAGACAAGGAGCTGAGGTGAAGTTCCTTATTCCATGGCCCCCAAAAAGAAAGATTCGTTCAAGAGGCTCAGGTGGAAGCCAAAGGTAAAGAGAAAGGAACAGTGGGGCAGTCTGGTGGGCACAGGCTGGGACTGTGCAAATACTACACTGAGTTGTACAGATGAGAGGGAGCTTATAGGATCTGTGGGCAATCCTCCCCGATACGTCCTCTGCCCAGTCCTGGAGCATGACAGGCCCTGCATACAGAGGTACTAGTATTTTCATGTCTTCCCTCTCAGCTTCGGTGGAACTGCTGTTTGCCTGTGTGTTTTCATGGGCAGGTTTGGGACCCTCTGTCATGCGTTGTCATTGAAAGAATTAGCTCCAAAGAAGTCAGGTCTGTGTTGGTGAAGAGTTTGGACTTGAGTGACTTGAAAGAAATGCAAATGTGCTTGGCGCAGTGTGGCTTTTAGGGCAGCCCTATGACTGATGCTCATCGGAGATGCTGTACAAGGGCCTGTCTGGCTCTGGAGACTGAATCCAACAGGGGGTGTAGCAGCTTCTTCCGGGTTTTCCTTCCCTGTGGTTGCAAGAGTCGCAGGCCCGGGTCTCAGCGAGGCAGCTAGTGGTTGTCTGGCTGTCTGCCCAGCCGAGAGGAATCCTTTCCACAGTGCTCTTGGCCAGCCCTTACCCATGATGTCTACAGATCTGTCACCTTGGCTAGGAACCAGGTGGGGACTCACCTCACAGAGGAAGTCTAAGGAGAGGAGAAAACAGGCAGAGGACCGAGGGGGGTCACTTCAGGCCAGGCAAGGCGAGGCTGGCAGGGAAATTCACTGCTGGAGTTACCTGAAGAGAGAGCCACGCAGATAAAACTGAAAGATGATAAGTTAGAGAGAAACCAGAGCTCCCGGGAAGTCTGAGTGTTCCCTCAGTGGAAGCAGAGCTCCCTGGAAGCCTGCCATGCGGGCTGACCTCACCCCTGTGATCAGACCGAGCAAACGTGAGGCTCCTGTCAGAGGCAGGGGAAGGCTGTAAATACCGCATCCAGGAGACCAAATACATGGATGACGCCACTTCTCCCAGGAAGTGAGACTTCTGGGGAACAGATGTCTCCAATCAGGTCATAGGTCAAACCCTCAAGAAATGAGAAGTAATTTGCGTGTATGAGGTATGAAAGTGATACCTCTTGAAGTTGGGATTGCAAACCCAACCACCTTTTCATGGGGCATCGCTTCCTAAGAAAATGTGTAACCTGAATTCAGGGAGATTTGGAGTGATCGTGCACAGGGGGCTTCAGGAGCTTTGTCTGGGGGAAACATAACTTTCTGGCAGGCGAGGGAGGAAGGCGTCGAGGGTGGGAGGGGGTGCTGGCCCCCATTCTGCTCGCAGGCTCCCACTTCCTCATCAATAGGGGGCTGAGGGTCTCAACACCCCTCTCCACACTGATGGCAACTTTGACTCTTAAAGTTTGAACTTTGAGCCACTTCATAGAGATCATCACCCAATATATTAGCTTTTGGAAAATTGTTTACATCACACTTGTATACAGGATTCTTTCTGAAAATTAACACCACTATTCAGTCCCAAGAGTCCAACATTGCACTCAGTAATACGTTAGAATTAATATGTTTGACTCAGTCACCTTATGAGTCACCTTAATTTATAAGCTGACTACCTATCTATTTATTTTTGTGTTTTTTTTTGTTTTGTTTTTTTACAGAGAGGAAGGGATAGGCATAGAGAGTTAGAAGCATCGATGAGAGAGAAACATCGATCAGCTGCCTCCTGCACACTCCCCACTGGGTATGTGTCCGCAACCAAGGTACATGCCCTTGACTGGAATCGAACCTGGGACCCCTGAGTCCGCAGGCTGATGCTCTATCCACTGAGACAAACCAGTTAGGGCTATTTAAATTGTTTCCACTGACCCTTCTGGACATGGAAAAGCAGCTATTCCAGGACTTAAA